TTGTTTTGAGCTGTTGGACAGAATGGGGCCAACTTTAATAGAAACTGGGTGCCAAGAATCCCAGGTTTTAATATTGAGTTTAGGAATCTTCTTTTTTTTTTTTTTTTTTGAGACAAAGTCTTGCTCCGTTGTCCAGGCTGGAGTGCAATGGTGCAATCTCAGTAGAGACCTTATTTTGCCGTGTTGGCCAGCCTTACAGGTGCCCGCCACCACACCTAGCTAATTTTTTTTTTTTTTTTGTATTTTTAGTAGAGATGGGGTTTCGCCATGTTGGCCAGCCTGGTCTTGAACTCTTGGCTTCCCGAAGTGCTGGGATTACAGGCGTGAGCCACCGCACATGGCAGGAATCATTTAATAGAGTGAAAACTGTCCATGTTGCCTCCTGTGTGATCTCATGGTCTGCTCAAAACTGGTTTCTACAATTAGCCAGTTATGGTGGTGTGCACTTGTGGTCCCAGCTACCCGTAAGGCTGAGGTAGGAGGATCGATTGAGCCCGGGAGGCGGAGGTTGCAGTGAGCTGAGATTGTGCCACTGCACTTCAGCCTGAGTGACAGAGTGACCCCATCTAAAAAAAAACACATAGGCGGGCATGGTGGTTCATGCCTGTAATCCCAGCACTTTGAGAGGCCGAGGTGGGCGGATCATCTGAGGTCGGGAGCTCGAGACCAGCCTGACCAACATGGAGAAACCCCATCTCTACTAAAAAAACAAAATTAGCTGGGCATGGTGGTGCATGCCTGTAATCCCAGCTACTCGGGAGGCTGAGGCAGAAGAATCGCTTGAACCTGGGAGGCAGAGGTTGCAGTGAGCTGAGATCACGCCATTGCACTCCATCCAGACTGGGCAGCAAGAGCAAAATTCTGTCTCAAAAAATAAAATAAAATAAAATACAAAAATTAGCCAGAGGTGGTAGTGTGTGCCTGTAATCCCAGCTACTTGGGAGGCTGAGGCAGGAGAATCCAGGCAGCAGAGATTTCTGTGAGCCAAGATCATGCCATGCACTCCAGCCAAAGTAAAACTCCGTCCCAAAACAAAAAAAAAAAAAAAAGAGGGATTTTATATTTTGTAGTCTCCCTAGTTTTGCTTCCAAAAAGACAATTAAAATTCAGTTCTTTCTGTATTTTCATTAATTCTGAACCTGAACCAACTGTCAGATAGATGCTTTTGCCTTAATTTGACTTTTTATTACTTCCAAATCATAGCATTAGAGACAAGCACTTTCTGGATTTCAGTCTGGTCCAATAGCAAGTTTAATGGAATAAAAAAGATGAGAGACTAAATGACTTATTAAATTAAGTGTCTGTATCAACTGTTCCCTGGGGCAGTGTTCAGTTTGATTTAAAATGACTTTTCACTTCCCTGAGGGGGAGGCGGTAGAGAGGGAGGACATTTCCATTAATGACTTCCTATTCCACAGAACAAAGCTCTGTAAAGAAAATCAGCTGATCAGCTTCCTCTGTTCATATTTTGGCTCAGGCAGAGACTTGCCCTATATTTGTCTTTGTCTCAATATGGGGGGAAGAGAGGGGAGGTTTTACAAAATCGCAGAACTTAGAGCTTTTCGGCCCTGGTTCTTGCCTGTGATGGTAATCTTTTTGTTGAGGGAAGTGAAGAACCTAAAGATCCTTAAGTCTGCTTTTATTTTTTCTTCTAGCAAGTACTGGCTGTGAATGTGGGACAGGATTTTGTGTTTTCTGTGACAGTCTGTAGTTTTTGGCCTCTGAACTTGATCGTTGACTTGCCAGAAGATCTAATGGGGGAGTGAGGAGTGAAAGAGTAGGAGGTTATAGGGTCTGTGGCATTCTATGGAATATCCCTGCCTACTACCACTACCCAGTAGGACTCAACTCTGTAATAGAAACACTGTCCTTATTTAAGTAAAACAACTCTTTGTGGAATCTGCTTGACTCTTGATCTCCTACTTAGAAGCTATTTGAGGGTTGAGGTGAAGGCATCTTCTCCTCTTGATTTTTTTTTTTTTTCCTGGACTCTCTCCATCTTTTCTCCGAACTGACTCCTAATTTAGGCAGTTGTACATTCAGACTGTGGGCGTATGTGTGTATGTGTGTGTTAAGGTGCCATGTATGTGGGAAGTGTGGAAAATGAAGACTACATTTGCCCTAGGGGCTCATTTAGTGACTTATAATATAATATTAATATGTTAATATCCCTAAGACACAAGAGAGTCAAAATTAGTGTTTTGTTAAATGTGGGGCCGGGGGCGTGGTAGCTCACGCATGTAATCCTAGCACTTTGGGAGGCCGAGGTGGGTGGATTGCTTGAGCTCAGGAGTCCGAAACTAGCCTGGGCAACATGGCAAAACTCCATCTCTACCAAAAATACAAAAAATCAACCAGGCATGGTGATGGGTGCCTGTAGTCCCAGCTACTTGGGGGGCCGAGGCAGGAGGATTGCTTGAACCTGGGAGGTCAAGGCCTTAGTGAGCTGAGATTGTGCCACTGTACTCCAGCCTATGTGACAAAGTGAGACCCTGTCTCAAAACTTTTTTAAAAAGTGGGGGGTTGTGCAGTGGGGGCTGGGTGTGATAGCTCACACCTGTAATCCCAGCACTTTGGGAGGCTGAGGCGGGAGGATTGCTTGAGCCCAGGAGTTCAATACCAGCCTGGGTGAGACATAACAAGAGTCTGTCTCTATTTTTTAATATTAAAAAGAAATGTAGGTTTTAACTCAATTGGTAGAAAACCAATTTAGTGGCATGCTACCAACAAAAAAAGAAATTTAAATAGAATAGAAAATATAAGCAGGGGCTGGGCGCGGTGGCTCACACCTATCATCCCAGCACTTTGGGAGGCTGAGGAGGGTGTATCACTTGAGGTCAAGAGTTTGAGACCAGCCTGGCCAACGTGGTGAAAACCCATCTCTACTAAAAATACAAAAATTAGCTGGGCATGGTGGCATGCGCCTGTAGTCCCAGCCACTGGCGGGACTGAGGCAGTGAACCTGGGAGGCCGACGTTGCTGTGAGTCAAGATGGTGCCATTGGAGAAGCTGGGTGCAGAAGTTCACGCCCGTAATGCCAGCTCTTAGGGAAGCAGAGGCAGGAGAATAGCTTGAGCCCAGGAGTTCAAGACCTGCCTGAACAATAAAATGAGACCCCTTTCTCCACAAAAAGGAAAAAAAAATGTATTTTTTAAATGAAATTTATTTATATATAAATATATATGTATTTGTATATATATGGTACCACTCAGTAATGGTAAATATTGTTTTATCAGCTTTTGCTATATTATATATACATATCTACTGGGCTCCAATTTTAAAGGTATTTCTTAGTGGGGTCACAGTCAAAACAAAATTGAGAAATAGTGTTCTAGATCTCAGAGTATACTTTAGAATACTAGTCCTCTGATAAACAGTTTCCGTCTATAAAAAGATTCTGAGATTGACTGTATCTAGGAAATCATACATATTATATCTGTCTTTTGGAGATTCACAGTGTACATTAGTGAACTGTTTAGAGGCCAGGAGCAGTGGCTCATGCCTGTAATCCCAGCATTCTGGGAGGCCAAGGTGGGTGGATCACGAGGTCAGGAGATCCAGACCATCTTGGCTAACATGGTGAAACCCGATCTCTACTTAAAATACAAAAACAGGCCGGTCGGGGTGGCTCACGCCTATAATCCCAGCACTTTGGGAGGCCGAAGCAGGCGGATCATGAAGTCAGGAGATCAAGACCATCCTGGCTAACACGGTGAAACCCCGTCTCTACTAAAAATACAAAAAATTAGCCAGGCGTGGTGGCACGCGCCTGTAGTCCCAGCTACTCTGGAGGCTGAGGCAGGAGAATGGCATGAACCTGGGAGGTGGAGCTTGCAGTGAGCCGAGATCCTGCCACTGCACTCCAGCCTGGGCGACAGAGCAAGACTCCATCTCAAATAAATAAATAAATAAATAAATAAAATACAAAAACAAAATTAGCTGGGCGTGGTGGCAGGCGCCTCTAGTCCCAGCTACTCAGGAGGCTGAGGTGGGAGAATGGCTTGAACCTGGGAGGTGGAGCTTGCAGTGAGCCGAGATCGCACCACTGCACTCCAGCCTGGGCGACAGAGCGAGAGTCCGTCTCAAACAAACAAACAAACAAACAAAAACAACTGTTTAGAAAGTCTTGCAGTTAAATGTTTACGAACTTTGTATGACCACAGAACTGTTTTTTGGCCCATATAATGGCTTTCAACATTCTGAGGAACAAGTGTTTGGAAGAATACACTTTGAGAAACATTAATCTAGATGTGTGGTCCTGAGGAAAAGTTGTATCTATTCATTCTGGAAGCTTTTGTATACGGTATGGGGCCTGTGGCATTCTAGAGAACATTGAACATTACTCCTACCATCACCACACAATAGAACTTGATTTTCTGTCATTGGAATAAGTGGAAAATAGGTTCCATACTGTGGGTTTTGAGAAGCGTAAAGATGGGGCATAAGGGTAGAAGCGCTTTTCTCTAGAATCATGCTCAGAGAAGGTGTCCATTCCTTTAGGTGGAATTACTTTCTGAGACAGGAACTGTTAATGTCCTGTTTACTGAAATTCCTTTTTTCTTTTTTGCTTTGTCCACAGATGTGGGACCTAGGAAAAGGCCTGAAGATTCCCCAGCTATACCAGTCTGGAGTGGTTGTCCTGGTTCTTACTGTGTTGTCCTCTATGGGGCTGGCAGCCATGTGAAGAACAGAGGTTCCCAGCATCATCTTTCTACACCTTATTACATTCATCCATCTTTCTGTTTTTCATTCTTATCTCCAGCCTGGGAAAAGTTCTCCTTATTTGTTTAGGTCCTTTTGTACTTTCAGATCCCGTTGGAGTAGTAGAGTACCTTGTAGACCATAATAGTGGAAAAGGGTCTAGTTTTCCCCTTGTTTCTAAAGATGGGGTGGCTGCAAAAACTCCCCTTTTTTGCCCACAGCTTGCCAACTCTAGAAGCAGTTATTCTGTCTCCATATTGGGCTTTGATTTGTGCTGAGGGTCAGCTTTTGGCTCCTTCTTCCTGAGACAGTGGAAACAATGCCAGCTCTGTGGCTTCTGCCCTGGGGACTGGGGGTGAGGCTTTGGGTGCCACTGCCTGTGGGTTGCTGGCTTAAAGGACAATTCTGTTCATTGGTGAGAGCCCAGGCCATTAACACCTACGCAGTGTTATTGAAAGAAGAGAGGTGGGGGTGGAGGGGAATTAGTCTGTCCCAGTTAGAGGGAGATAAAGAGGGCTAGTTAGTTCTTGGAGCAGCTGCTTTTGAGGAGAAAATATATAGCTTTTGACACAAGAAGATCCAGAAAATTATTGAACATATTAATGGTTATTTCTTTTTCTTTTTCTTGGATTTCCAGAAAAGCCTCTTAATTTTATGCTTTCTCATCGAAGTCATGTACCCTTTTTTTCTGAAACTGAATTAAAATACTCATTTTATCTTTGACTCTCCTTGAAATCTAAAGAAACCAAGAAAATGGCTGTTGGGAGGGAACCAATTTCCTCCTCTTCCCTCGGGTCTCAGGCATTTACATCCTCCCTTTCCCTGCAATCTGACCTTTCCCAGGAGGGAAACAGTTTTCCTACACCTCATCATTGGAGAAGTTTTCAGGGAATCAGATAGAACTTAGCCAGATATTTAAATATCACAGAGAAGCCTCAGAGAAGGAAGGAAGAAAAGAAAAGAAGTGATGCATGTAGAGTGCTTTTGGGTTATAGGCACCAAAATCCCATTAAGGACTGATTATAAGCTTCATGGGACAGTTCAGGAAACTATGATTCAGTGAGGGGCACAGAGGACCGGTGTTGGTGACAGCTAAGGGATGATGACCTGAAGTTATAGGCTTAGGGTAGATGAAGAATAGAGATTTTTTAAAAAAGAAGGGATTGTTGAAAACCTGGCAAAAATGTATAATTTAATGAGAAAACTTGATGCTTTTAAAAATGCAGATAGGCCAGGCTTTACCAGGCATGCTGTTTTGATAGTTTTTGGGAACTCTGGAATAAGAGACCTATCTCGTCTGTCACTTTGAGTTGCTGGCCAGCCAGTTAAAGCCATGGGTCGAAGAGGGGAAATGGTAACTGGCTGGTGTCAATTGGATAGGAAGACCATAGTTAAGGTGGGGACCTGCTCTTTTAACAGTCTTCATTCAGGGTCCCAAATAGTATTTGGCTTTAAGTAATGATTGCTTTTCCCTTTTTACTAGAGGGAAGTCCTTGTACCTTTCCTCCATTTTAAACCAGCTGTTCTCTACTTTGTCCTTGGAATGAGGGACAAGTGATCATGAGAGAACACTTTGTCATTGGTATGGGGAAAGGTTTGGCAAGGGCATTGAATTTAACAGCCAGTGCCAGGAAAATGTAAAATGGGGTCAATGATAAACAGATGTTACAGGCTGGAAAATGGGTAGGGCAGTTGAATTTTTTGGTGGTTTCCTACCATTTGGGTGATTGAAGCATGGTAGTGGGTGGGTGGGGGGGTGTGACAGCGTCATGTTTTTTATTCTGCCTTAAATTTCTACTTACCATCTTTGTTTGTCTTCTCTGTCTTCCAATCACTTTAATATCTTCAATTTTCAAACTATATTTGTACTTGGGCTTAGATAGGAAGTCTTACAAAAGCATAGTATCTTCTACTTTGGTTTTCCCTACCTTTTCTTCCTCACCTTCTCCAAACACACATATACATACTCTACTCAACAATTCTACTTCTGATTTTGTAGTTGTTAGTTGTGCATGCTCAGGATAAAAAATAAGTGGATAGGGTTGAGGGACTGGTTCTTTGAGGTTCTACCCTTTTTCCATGATTCAGACCAACCTTCTCTTGGTCATTTCTGGAGTATAACTGACTCAATTCTTGTAAAAATGTGTTCCACCCAAACCACTGTATGTTCTTTTCCCTACTTTATTTTCCCCCACCTTCCTTCTAATTGGGTTACAAGAGGCAGCCATAGCAAGAGTGGAAAATCCAGATCCGTAAAAGACTCAACAAAAAAAGTTTATTTTCCAAATTTGTTTTTACTCCCACCCCAAAATTTCCCTGTTTCACAGTTCTGACTGGGGCTCTTGTTTATTTCACTAGGTCGCTATACAGGTTTTTCAGTGTGTGGCCACTTGGTCCATATGAAATTCCAGGTTTGTATTTCTGGACCTCAGCTAGATTAGGCCCTGCCCAGAGTTCTAGCATACGTGGACTTCCAGGTGGGCTCTTAGGATTTGGCTGGGCTTTGGGGACCTGGAGTATGACCTGCAGAGGGGTGTGAGCTTCGGAGTTCATCTGGGGAATTGAGGTTGGCAGCTGGGGAGCTTGGAATTATGGTTGGACTTAGTGCTTGTTGTACGGTCTTTGTGATAGACTTCTTCCTGAGTTTCTTCTGACTGTCTGGATCATGGGGCTGTCAGTGATAGAGTGGAAGAGACAGTCATGTCTCTGGTCGGGCCCGGATCATTCCCAATGCACCTCAGGATTCTAACTCCCTTTCTCCCCATACCATGGGCAGTAGATCAAGTTTCAAATAAGGAAAGTTAAATTTGATTTCTCTAACTACCCTCCCCCACCTTGAGATTAGATCATTTTCTACTGTTAAGGGTGAGATGTCCTTAGCCCATCCCTTCAGGCCTCAGAAGGTGATTAGGGACTAGTCAGGATAAGACGAATTGGTTAGAGGTCCCCCCTGTTGGGTTAGTGGTGGCATAACAGCAGACATTTTTTGAAGTTGAAAAGAAATTGAGACAACAGGGTTTTGGATTAGATGGGAAGAATAGATACCTTGCCTAAGATTTCAGGACGCAGCCCGTTGGAGGCCTTGAGTAAATCAGAATTTTTCTGTATCCATTTGGTGAGGGAGGCAGCACCAGCAGTTGTACGGGAGGTCAGGGTCACCCGAGCAGGGGGTATCTTCAGAGGCATTTGCCAGGTGCCCATGAAGGAACCCCAAGGATTTGCCTGAAAATGAAAAGGAATTCCTCAATAGGGCTTCTCACTCCTGGTAACTGACTTAGACCTCTGTTAGTCTTATTTCCATTCTTTAGGAATGCATGGTTATGAAATAAGACTGAAAGCATAATCTTCCCACCCTTCCTTATCCCCCTCCCTCATTTAGGCTTTGCAGGCCTAATTTTTTCATCCCCTTTACTCTGCCAACTTAAATTCCGCATCCTTAGGCTGAGTGTGGCAAAGGAGTACCCACTGCACAAATGTCATCACCTGAAGGCTTTCTTTTATACAGATCATTGATCAATTTAAGAACTTCTGAAAGGTACTAAACACAACTCTATCCTGTTGGGTAAGCTGGCCGGAAGTTCAAGGGCTCTTACATTACAACATGAATTAGATTAAACTTTAATTTTCCTGATAATGGCTGTGAGAGACTGCACATCTCCCAGTTCTGTGCCTCAATTATTTGCCTTTCTTGATAGGAATGAAGATAGTATCTCACCTTGGAACGGGGCACAGAAGGCAGTAGATGACCACGATCATTGGCAATAATTTGAGTGTAGCCTTCATGAGAAGAGATGCTCTGGGGTACAAATGGGAGAGATAAATGTTTCTGAGTGGGGAAAAAAGGAGTATTTGGGGAGCTTGGTCAGAGAAGGATATGGGAGTTTAGAGAAGGCTAAAAGGAGTTAATTGACAGGGAGAGCATGAGGCTATCTTGTAGGTGCACTGAACATGGAATACCTCTTTTGTTGGCTTAGCCGGAGACCAGTTCTGCAGATACTTGGATGAGAAAGCCTTTTCATACTGTGGAGAGAAAGATAAGTATCCCTGTGATGTGAGACTTCAAGGCCCCAAACCCAGGAAATGATGACTAGGCACAATTCTTTAGATTTGAAGACCAAAGGCCTGACCAACCATGTAGGCTTTGAGTCACTATGACAAGGGTGTAATCTGTTTGGTCTAGATGTGTGCTGTTCAGCATGGAGCCAGTAGCCACATGGAGCTGTTGAACACCTGAAATATGACTAGTTCAAATTGAGGTGCTTTATAAGTATGAAATATGCTGAATTTTGAAGTTTTGTCTTTTTCTTTCTTTCTTTCTTTTTTTTTTTTTTTTGAGACAGGATCTTGGTCTGCCACCTGGGTTGGCGTCAGTGGCAACCCTAGCTCACTGCAGCCTTGGACACCTGGGTTCAAGCAATCCTCCTCCCTCAGACTCACAAGTAGCTGGGACTACAGGTGCATGTCACCATGCCCAGATAATTTTTTAATTTACTTGTAGAGATGAGGTTTCACCATATTGCCCAGGGTGGTCTCAAACTTCTGGCCTCAAGTCATCCTTCTGCCTCAGTCTCCCAAAGTGTTGGGATTATGGACGCAAGCTACAACATCCAGCAGGTTTTGAAGATTTAGTACAATAAAAGAATGTAAAATGTCTGATTATAATTTTTAAAATACTGATTAAATGTTGAAATAATATTTGGATTTATCGGGTTAAATTCAATATATTTAAATTTTATGTTTTAAGTTTTTCATGTAGCTACTAGAAAATTTAAAATTACATTTGTGGCTCGCACTCGTTTTGTTCGGCAGCACTGGTCTAGATCAGGAGTTGGTAAACTATGGCCTATGGGCCATATCCATATTGCTGCCTGTTTGGGGATGGCCTGAGAGTAAGGACGATTTTTATAGATGAACATTTACAATTGATTCAGTAAAATGGAACACTAACTTTGAATCCCAGTTAAGTGAAATGTTTTCTCAACCCCCAAAATTCCATTATTTTCATTAGTAGTACAAAAAATTGTACTCAGTTATATTTTGAATTTGTCAAAAATTTATGGAAAAATGTTTTCCTTTAATTATGTAAGTAGCTATAGAATATTTTTGACTTTGCCACTTGGCCTAAGCCTAAAATTTTTACGCTCTGCCCTTTTACAGAAAAAAAAAATTGCCAACTTCTGGTTTACACCCTACAAATTTAACTCAGAGATACCTTTGGATAGCCCCTGGGCTCTATCCCTGAGGAGGTAAAATATTATCTCACTCCACTCTCAGCTATCTGAGATCAGAATCCTACGAGAGGGGACAGTCCAAAGATAGAATCTGAAAAACAAAAGTAAACTTTAAAGAAATGGAGAATGGGAACTTACCTGGTTGGCACTGTAGTTAGTGGCCATGATCTTGTGCTATTTACACTCGTTGCTTGGCAACTGCAGAAGGCCAACCTCCTGGGACTACCTCCCAATCAGCAGAGGCTGCCTTTCCCTTCTGCTGCTGCTTATTCATTTCCTTGGTTCACACTGCCCCCATTTGTTTTCTCTGGAACTTAGATTCATTTTTATTTTAGAGACGGGAAAGAAAATAAAACTCATTTTATTTTAGAGACTGGGTAAATATGAGAAAATTAGCTGAATAGTAGCTACTGTTTTTCTGGCATAACCTACCCCTGCTTAAGAACTTCCATGTGGCCTTTGATTGGGGTTTTTAACCACTTTAACAAATGATGTAACCCTGAGAGCTATGTTTGTTGGACGACATGGTGTAATGTACCACAGGATGCAGAGCCAGATACTGGGGGTTGAATCCTTATTCAACATGGGAACATAGGAGCTATATGACAGTAAACAACTGACTTGTCTTCACTAAATTTCTATCAACTCATTTGTATTGTGGAGATTATAGAGCCTGCTTTTACAGGGTAAGTGAGATAAAATGAATAGTGTCTTGACAACATCATAGCATAGTAGGTATTCAATACTGGTGAGATCCTGTTTATAAGGCCCCCTACATTATCAGGCAGAATAACAAAGGAACAATATTTAAAAAGCAACTAGCTCAAATCTGTCCCCAGAAGGAAAAACATATCCTGTCCTTGGTCCTTAAATAATTTCCTCTGTCACTGTCTTAGAATCACAGCACATAAGAACACAGGTGTTTTGTGTTGACTGGAATAAAATGGAATCGGGTGCTGGTGCAGGGAGATTGAGCAGGAATGAAGAGAGAAAGTCACAGAGTAGAAAGCATCAGGTTTGGAGACTTCAACAGGGGGTGCCAGGACATCAGCCTAATATTTGTGGGACAAGGAAACCCCTCTGAAACTCATCTAAAATGGTATTGTAATACCAGTCTACGAGGTGGCTAGGAGAATTAATGAGTAAGCAGAACTGTGCTTTGTGAATTGTAAAGTGAATTTATATATAAGGTGTCAAGATGAAAGGGAAAAACAAAGAAATAAGTTGCCCAAAGATATCATTAGGACCAGGAGAGCATTATACAGTAGATCCAGGTCGGACATGGTGGCTCATGCCTACAATCCCAGCACTTTGGGAGGCCAAGGCAGGTGGATCACGAGATCAGGAGTTCGAGACCAGCCTGGCCAACATGGAGAAACCCTGTCTCTACTAAAAATACAAAAATTAGGCAGGTACGGTGGCACATACCTCTAATCCTAGCTACTTGGGAGGCTGAGGCAGGAGAATTGCTTGAACCCAGGAGGCGGAGCTTGCAATGAGCAGAGATCGCGCCACTGCATTCCAGCCTGGGTGACAGTGCGAGACTCCATCTCAAAAAAAAAAAAAACAAACAAAAGAACAAAATGTGTCCATCAGTCCCTTCTCTTCATTCTTCCCCCAAAATCCTCATCTTAAACCAACACACCAAGTGTAAGTGCACTCTTATGTTCTGCAGATGGAGGGAAGAACAGCTCTTGTTTTAGAGGCTCCGGAGTTAATACCTGGATAATGTGAGATCTCGAAAGATAACTCATGTGCTTAGTCCCTGTGGTTCTTATCACTGTCTAGAGGAGTGGAAGACAGAAGAGTTCTTTAAGGACCAAAGACTATCTTTGCTTTAGGATATCCATTTTGGCCCTTTAAGCTGCAGTGATAGGCTAGCATTATTTCTCTTAGAATTTTCAGTTGATATGCCTCCTTCTGCTTTTCTGATAGGGATGTAATGATAAATGATGACTATACTCATTTTTAAAAGTTAACAGTTTTTGTTCAACTGCAAAAGTAATGTACATGGAAAAAAGTTTCATGTTTACAGGATGGTCAGTGAAAAGCAAATCTCCATTTGATTTCAACTCTCAGTCTTGCTCCTCAGGGCAACTACTGTTATTCATTTCTTGTGTCTCCTTCCAGAAATATCCTATGCATACAAACACTAATGAGAGAGCTGTCCACATTGCTTTTTGATTTGCTTTTTTGACTATCTTGGGGATTATGTTTTTATCATAATATAGTATTCCATTTTGGGATGCACCATAGTTTATTCAGACCCATATGGATGACCATTTAGGTTATTTATAGTCTTTTGCTATTAAGGACATTGCTGTAATGAAAAATCCCTGTGTATCTTTATGAACATTTATGTATGTATTTTTATGTACATACGTGATCTGTAGGATAAATTTTTAAAAGTACATTGCAAAGTCAAACGGGTTTGTGTGTTTAAAATAAGTAGATAATGTCAAATTACCATTGAAATACATTGCACCACTTTGTACTTCTACCAATGGTGTATGATGGCGTGTGAGTGCCTAGTTCTCTCCTTTCTTTTCAACATCATTATCGTTTTTTTTTTTTTTTTTTTTTTCAGTCTAAACTAATTTTAATTGAACTAATAGAATTGAACTAATAGAACTAATTGATTGAACTAGTAGAACTAATGTTAACTGAGCAGTTACTATGTACATGCCAGGAACAGTTCTAATTGCTTTATTACATTTTCTCATTTAGTTCTCAACCCAACCAAGGAAACTGGAGAATACACAGTGAGGAGTAGAGCCAGGATTTAATCCCAAGTATTCTGACTCTAGAGCCAGCAGTTTTAACCATTACATCATATTGCTTGTTAAGCTGTAGGTTGAACAAGGTGTATAATTTTATTTTTTGTTTTTGTTTTGAGACAGGGTCTCCCTGTCGCCTAAGCTCTGGAGTGCAGTGGTGCCATCAATATCCTGAGCTCAAGCAATCCTCCCACCTCAGCCTCCTGAGTAGTTGGGAGTATAGGCATGAGCTACCATGCCCAGCTAATTATAAAAAAAAAAAAAAATTAAGAGATAGGGTCTTACTATGTTGTTCGTCTTCTCTTGAACTCTTGGCCTCAAGTGATTCTTCTCCTTTGACCTCCCAAAGTGTTGAGATTACAGGCACCAACCACCACACTCACTCAACATGGTATATCATTGTTTTAAATTTGCATTTCTTTAATTAGGGTGTTTTTATGTGTGTATAAACCCTTTTTACTTTTTTTCCCCTGATAATGGCCTTTAATGTTTTTTGCCACTTACTATTGGGCTGTTGACTTTTTTTTCTTTTTATTTGAAACCAGGCCTCCCTCTGTCGTCATCTTGGTTCACTGTAACTTCTGCCTCTCACGTCCAAGCAATCTTCCCACCTCAGCCTCCCAAATAACTGGAACTACAGGGACGCACCACCACATCCAGCTGATTTTAAAATTTTTTTGTAGAGAAGGGATTTTGCCATGTTGCCCAGGCTGGTCTTGAACTCCTGGGCTCAAGCCGTCTGCCCACCTCAGCTTCCCAAAATGCTGGGATTACAGGCTTGAGCCACTGCACCCAGCCTGTTAATCATGTTCATTAATCTGTTTGAACTCCATATATTAAGCAAATTAGTCCTTTGTCAAATATGTTGCAAACATTCCCTCCACTTTGTCACTTACTTTCGTTTTGTTGGTTTTTCTGTTTTGTTTTTGTTTTTGTTTCTCTGTGGGTTGTGTGTTTTTGTTTTGTTTTTTGTTTTTTTGCCATGGACATGTTTTTAGTACTTATGTAGTAGTCAGATGTATTACTCATTTTTTCTATGCTCTGGATCTTATGCTTTGAATGGCTTTTTGTAAATTCCAATATTTTAAAAATAATCGACCCCTCACTTCAGTTTTTAGATTTAAATTTTTGTTCCTTCTGGAATTTTAGTGAATGTGGACAAGGTTATGCTTCAGTTGCCTTAACTAGTTGCCTTGGCATCATTTATTAATAAGTTTTCTTTTCCCCTACTGATTTGAAATGCCACTTTTAATGTATTCCCTAACATATTTGTGTCTGTTTCTGGATCCTCTAACCCATTGTTCTAGAGAGAAAGGTGATTGTTTTAGATTATTTGTCTCTCTGATATTTAAAATCCAGGGTACACTCTGGGCACAGTGGCTCACGCATGTAATCCTAGCACTTTCGGAGGCTGAGGCAGGCAGATCAGTTGAGGTAAGAAGTTTGAGACCAGCCTGACCAACACGGCGAAACCCCGTTTCTACTAAAAATACAAATATTAGCGGGGCATGGTAACACTTGCCTGTAGTCCCAGCTACTGGGGAGGTGAGGCAAGGGAATCGCTTGAACCCGGGAGGTGGAGGTTGCAATGAGCCGAGATCCCACCACTGCACCCCATTCCGGGCGACAGTGAGACTCCACCTCCAAAAAAAAAAAAAAAAAAGGGGGGCCGGGCGCGGTCGCCTGTAATTCCAGCACTTTGGGAGGCCGAGACAGGAGATTCACGAGGTCAAGAGATCGAGACAATCCTGGCCAACGTGGTGAAACCCCCGTCTCTACTAAAAATACAAAAATTAACGGCATAGTGGCGTGCGCCTGTAGTTCCAGCTACTTGAGAGGCTGAGGCAGGAGAATCGCTTGAACCCGGGAGGCGGAGGTTGCAGTGAACCGAGACTGCGCCACTGTACTCCAGCCTGGCGACAGAGTGAGACTCCGTTTCAAAAAAAAAAAAAAAAAATCCAAGGTACAATCCCGGCTTGATCCTATGTGAATTCTTCCATTTAAGATTTCAGGCCGGGCGCAGTGGCTCACGCCTGTAATCCCAGCACTTTGGGAGGCGGAGGCGTGCGGGTCACAAGGTTAGGAGATTGAGACCATCCTGGCTAACACGGTGAAACCCCATCTCTACTAAAAATACAAAAAATTAGCCGGGCATGGTGGGGGGCGCCTGTAGTCCCAGCTACTCGGGAGACTGAGGCAGGAGAATGGCGTGAACCCGGGAGGTGGAGCTGGCAGTGAGCCGAGATCGCACCACTGCGCTCCAGCCTGGGCGACAGCGAGACTCCGTCTCAAAAAAAAAAAAAAAAAAAAAATTTCACTAGGAAATTGTAATATCAGTAGTAACAGGCAATTTTAAGCTTCTAATAACAGTGTATTGAATTTTAGCCT